CCAGCACTTGTAAATTATCTGCCTCATCATTGCGTGCTGAAACCGGAAAAGGCAACCACCAAACTAAGGGTTGTCTTTAATGCATCCGCGAAAGGATCAAGAGGCCTTAGTTTAAACCAAACACTTTTGACAGGTCCGAAGCTCCAGACAGATATTCAGGAAATCCTGTTAAAGTTTCGTGTTCATGCTGTCGTTTTTCTGGCCGACATAAAACAGATTTATTTGCAAATTCAAGTTAACCCTAGTCACCGCGATTTCCAGAGGTTGCTCTGGCGCTTTCACCCTAAGGAACCACTTCGGGAGTATCGCCTCAATGGTGTCACTTTTGGGATAAGCTCCAGCCCCTTCCTGGCTATTCGTACAATACAGGAACTTGCGAATCTGGAAAAGAAAACGTACCCTAAGGCATCTCAAGTACTACATGAAAATATCTTTATGGACGATATTTGCGTAGGAACCTCTACCATTGAGGAAGCCAAAGTGTTACAAAAGGAGTTAATTGCCTTATTAAGAACTGGAGGTTTTGAATTTCGAAAGTGGGCAAGTAATGAAACCCAACTCCTTTCTTCTTTAGAACCCTCTGACTGTCAAATGGCAGTTTCATTCGAGGAGGAGGACAACACTTCGATTAAAGTGCTGGGGCTTCAATGGAGTCCAACTTCCGACACTTTTTCTTATTCATGTCACCCTTCTCCTAAGCCATGTACCAAAAGAAATATCCTTTCAGAAATAGCGCGTATATTTGATCCTTTGGGGTTTATTGCGCCAGTAACATTCTTAGCAAAAACTATTATGCAGAAACTTTGGCTGGACAAGGTTCCCTGGGATGAAACTCCCTCACAACCTATTGTTGATCTTTGGAACCAATACAAAAGTGAATTTCCATCTTTGTCAAGGATTTCTCTACCTCGATTTAATTTTTCAAATAGTATTCAACGGTGTCAACTGTTGGGATTTTGTGATGCTTCAGAACTTGGGTATGCAGGGGCAGTATATGTTCGGATCGAGCTGACCGACGGCAATGTTCGATCCTCCTTAACTTGCGGTAAATCTAAAGTTGCGCCACTTCAAACCAAATCTATACCTCGCTTAGAGCTCATTGGAGCTACCCTACTAGCCGATCTTTTGAATTTTGTCATACGTACATATTCGCCACTTGTCACTATAGATGAAATATTCGCCTTCTCGGACTCACAAGTAGTTTTGGCATGGTTGGCATCGTCGCCGCATAGATGGAAAAGTTTCGTGGCAAACCGTGTTAGCCATATTCAGGAAACCATTCCGGATGTACCTTGGTTTCACGTTCAATCTTTGGACAACTCTGCTGATTGTGCTAGTCGTGGACTAACTCCTAAAGGTTTATTGGAACATTCCTTGTGGTTTCACGGTCCTCCGTGGGTAACCTTACCTCGCGCTCAGTGGAACCTTAGAGAGTTCAACAGGGAGCACATAGACCTGCAAACAGAAGCACGGGAAGAAGAGAAACCCACGGTCTTGTCGGTAGTAATAGGAAAGACTTACTTTGAAAAATTGATCAATAGGCACTCTTCCTTACCGAAAATTATTAAAATTCTTGCCCATTTTGTTCGGCTAGCCTACAATGTTCATCATAAATGTGACCGACTTTCTGGGTCATTTTCTGCCCTAGAACTTCACGATACCTTGCTAGTACTTGTTAAGAGGGTCCAAGAGCAATCGTTTCCGGATTTAATTATCCAAATTCAAACCAATAAACTGTTGCCTAAACCCTTTCGCAAGCTTGCCCTTTTTTTAGATGCTAGCGGGTTTGTCAGAGTGGGCGGAAGATTGCGAAATTCAGACATTTCCTTTGAAGCCAAACACCCTTTAGTTCTGCCCCGTACTCATCGTCTCACCGATTTAATAATTGAACAAACTCATCAAGAAAATTTTCACCCCGGACTGACTACACTGCACTATTTATTACGCCAAAGGTTTTGGATCCTTTCAGCCCGTAGAGCTATCCAAAAGGTTCTATCAAAATGTATCAGGTGTTTTCGTTTAAAACCAAAGGCTTATACGCCCTATATGGGTGACCTCCCTTCCTTTAGAACCTCCCAGCTCAAGTGTTTTTCATATTCCGCGTTGAATTATGCAGGCCCTCTGAAGATAACCCTTGGTAAACATCGTGGAGCGAAAGTTTCCAAAGCTTACATTTGCCTTTTTGTATGTTGTGCCACTAAGGCCATTCACTTGGAACTGGTATCTGACCTCACTACCGAGGCATTTATCGCTGCTTTGAGACGCTTTATCGCTAGACGCGGAGTCTGTGTACAACTTTTGAGTGACTGTGGCTCCAACTTCGTAGGTGCGGTTGGTCAACTTGAGGAACTTTCAAAATTCGCTGCTAGCACTCTAAAAATAAAATGGCACCTAAATAGTCCCGGTTCCCCACATTTTAACGGCCTTGCCGAAGCAGGCGTCAAGTCGGTCAAGACCCACTTAAAAAGGGTCATTGGTGATCAAGTGCTGACATATGAGGAATTGTATACCTTGTTGACTCAAATTGAAGCCTTGCTAAACTCGAGACCTATCAGCGAACTGAGTTCCGACCCTAATGATTTGCAACCATTAACGCCCGGTCATTTCTTGACGCTGGAGCCCCTCAATTCCTGTCCAGATCCCGATTTATCGCATTTAAAGTTAAATAGACTTAACCGTTGGCAATTAGTGCAACGCCTTAATTCCGATTTCTGGAAAAGATGGCAAGCCGAGTATTTGCATACTTTACAGCAACGCTCAAAGTGGACCACTCGCTTTGCAGAGGTGAAACTCAATACTTTAGTTTTAATAAAGGATGAATCTAGGTCCCCTCTGCATTGGTCTTTGGGCCGCATAATCGCATTGCATCCAGGCAAAGATGGCCATGTAAGAGTGGTTACTTTAAAAACACAACATGGGATACTCAAGCGTCCTACAGTTAAGTTATGTCCATTGCCGACTAACTAATATTTCACTCCTTAATCCGTAGATTAAGGTCTTTATGTCGCGTGCTGTTTTGAATAATTTTTTTGTTTTTTTTTGGGAATCCGAGGTTGTTTTGCTTCCGCAGTATATGAATTTTGTTCTTATCGCGTGTTTTTTTTTTATACTCGAGAATTTTAGCATTTTAATGTTTATTTGGGATTGGGAAATAAAACTCCGTTTTAAGTGGGCGGAAAATGTTCGTGCAAATGTTTGGGAAAAGGGGAATTTGTTTGTATATTTAAAATTCGATATTGACATTAAAAAAAACCATACAATTTCAAACCATTCGGCACCATATATACGCTACGACCTTCGAAGCAGTCGAGTTCCAGTAGTGCGAGGTCGCGTGTCCGTAGCCAAGACTACATATTTTGAATCAAAAACTCTCCAAAAATATTCATTAGAAACTCAATTATCTACCCGTTTTCGAAGTGACCAGTGGGATTACGTTGTTTATGAAACAGGAGCTCCTGTGAGGCGCCAACACCAGCGCATAGCACAACCCTGTGCAACTCCAAGGTAGGTGCCTTATCTAATATTGCCTTTGTATGGTTCCGCGATCAAATTTCGACGCGTTTACAGTCCGCGGCTCTCCAGAATAAATTTCCCAACGTTTTAATCATAAACATTTTTCATATTAGCAGGTAGTTTCCCGGATATATGGAAAAAGGCTAGGTTGGTGCGTATTGACTAACCTCCAGAGCAGGAATTAATAGAGACTATACTTACAGACCATAGACGTAACTGGAAAAGTCGAGATGCTCATCAGAGACAGGACAGAAAAGGATCTGTTACACACAGAACAATATGGACTCAGAAAAGGTCGACGGTGAATGCAATCGCGAGGGTCAAAATGTTTGCAGATGAGTTGAAGATCAAAGCGGTAAAAAATACGGAGTTCCGCGTGCTTATCCTAATGAATGTGGAGAACGCCTTCAACTCTGCACCATGGAGAAAGGGGATAGAAGCGATGGAAGTGGAAGGCATAAGCAAATATTTGATAAACATAATCAAGTCCTATCTCTCAAACAGACGTATAATGACTCCGAAGGAGAAAGTATGACGTGCAGGGTGCCGCAGAAACGGATACAGAAAAGGAGTAAATCTAGCTGTATACGCAGACGACCTTGCCATCATAGTGACGGCTAAGACCAGAGAGATCCTAGAGGACAAGGCTCGGTGGGCAGTCACGTGAATCAGAGAAAAACTGGACGAAATGGCCATAAAGGTGGCTGCAAACAAGACAGAGATAGTAATGATAGCCGGAACGAGGAAGATCACGGAACCAACTCTTAGAATACAAGATACACAGGTTGAAATGACGAAAAGTGCAAGATACCTCGAAGTTTACATGGATAAGGATAATAAAGATTGAAGAGAAAGCTGAAAAAATGACAGACGTTCTGGCAAGAACAAAGCCTAAAGCGAGCAGAATAACAACAGATAAAACGAGACTGGTAGCAAGCACGGTGCTATCTGTAGTACTGTACGCCGCGCCGCCTTGGAGCCGGGCACTTAAATATAAGAAATACAGAGGGATCCTCAGCATCGTAAATAGGACATTGGCGATTGGCGATTGCTATAGTGGGTGCTTACAGAACAGCCGCCACTGTGACGGTGGAGATATTCGTGGGCTTGCCTCCTATCGACTTGGCAGTGGCGGGAAAGGAAAGCAGAGCGGTAGCCAGAGAGATAATATGGCAATGATGGCAAAAACGATGGAACAGCTATAACGGATGAGCATAAAACTTTGTAAGAGAGATTAGCGCATGGACAGAGACGAAGTGGGGTGTCCTGAACTATTACGTGACACAGGCGCTCACGGGACATGGCGTTTTTGGAAATTACCTGAAGAAGATTGGAAAGCAGGTGACGGATGCGTGTTGGTATTTTGGAGGCAGCGACTCCCTAGAATATACACTGTCAAGTGTGAAATATTCGCGGAACACAGAGAGCGGGCTTATCGAGAGTTTAACTGTCACATTAGAAAATTCAGGAGAGCTGATGCTAAGCAGCAATCGTTGCTGGGATGCTGTGGAGGGCATGTTCCTGGACATCATGAAAGAAAAAGAAAATAAGGTAAGGTGGAGACAAGTGAATGAAGAATGAAGGAGAGAACTAGATACAGAAATCCGAAGCAATGTTGCTACGCGGCGTTCCCAAATATGGGGTGATGTTTAGTGGGTAGTGGATCTCTCAGAACAACCGAGAGAATCTGAGTCCCATACTTCCTTGGGAATCGTCCAAAAGTAGTTCTTCAATTAAAAAATTTACATTTTGGTTTTTCCTAAAAATGCGAGGCCACAGCGGTCGTACGCCATAGCGAAACCGGCTCGGAATAACAAACTCCGGCATACTGAACATTAAAATTTTGGTTGTGTACATGGCGGTCGTATACAACCGTATAGCGAAATTCCAAATTTTCAACGCGGTCTTATACGAGCGCTATATTACCCTACTAACATTAACGGTTCTAACTTTTTTTTGCTGTTATTGTATTTATAGGTACCTATGTGAATGTGTAGCTACATTTAAAGCACTGCATTGCAAACAATATGAAATATTGTTTCATCAAGTTTCGTTTTAATGTATAGAACACCACTCTTCCTAGCATAAATCATTGTCTATTTGTGTACATATATGCTAATATAAAATAACATGTCCTATCTGTGTTGCACCTAATTATTACAAATGGGGAAATATTCGCAGTGCATCATTATTATTTAATAAAAGCCTATACATTCTAGCAATTCATTAGCTGTAATCAGCAGCCTATTTTTATAGGCAGGTAGAAACACAAATAAATAATGCATGTATTTTTTCTCGAAATCAGTAGTTGAAAAACGAAAAATCTTAACCCGGCATTACACGCGTCTAAAAACATACGTCATTACACTCGTTCGGTCAAATCGATCGACTGCCCAAAAGTTCATATGAATTATTTGCTTTTTTCGCGGAGACGATCCCAAACGTTTCCTGAACGCTAAGGCATGAACCTACGCAGGTTTACTAATCAATAGAGACATGAAGCTTTCAAATATTACCTGCGTAAGTCATGCCTTAGCGTTCAGGATACGTTTGGGATCGTTTCCGCGAAAAAAGTGTACAAGCACTATAATTCCTAGAATTTATAATCATTACAAAGGGAATTATATTATGCAGTACAGTTACCGTATTATCGACAGCCAAAAGTACTCCCAATATCAGAAAATGCCAATTTTGAATATAAATATTTTAAATACTCAGGTTCACGCGCCTAGTAAAAAGCACCAACTATGAAAACATCGAACTATACTTCAACCAAAACCCAAAATATTTCTGGGCCAATGGGCAGTGGAAAACCTGCATCAGGCATTCCTGGATGGACAAAACTGCCACCCTTGTACCAGTGGCGTAATTACTGGTTTTATCAATGGTCGGTCTTTTTGACCGACACGCATGTACTCCCGGATTAAAATGATCAAATTGCAAATAGGACCATTCATGTTAGTATGGAAGTCAACCTGCTATGGTGTGTAGCATGTGAAATGCTACTGTTATTAACTGTTCCTTTTTCTTCCAAATATTGTTTTATAAGTTTATAACCTTATCATTATTACCTTAAATGTCTGGTGACTGGCATTTAAAATAAAATATTTCTGTCGCCAATAACAATAGCAATTTAATAAACTAGAGGACATGATTTCCGTTTAAGTTTGAAGTACCAGTTTAGTACCAACGCATTTCGTTGACTATTTTTTGAAAGAACGCTCGGCTTGTAGAGATTGTCCTTTTCTTGGTCCCTTTTCAATCTTGCCGTTGCCCTGAAAGGTCGACTCTGGCCTAGGGGGCAGTTATCTTCCTCGATTGTGAATATCGTCCTCGTGGAAAAAAGTACCTTATCGGCCATCAGGCATTATCTTAACGAAATAAAGTTGCGTAAGGCAATAACCCGTTGATTACCGAAAAAAATTAAATCAAAAATCTTGTGATTACCGTTTTATTTGAGTTTGAATTTCGAACCCCCTCGTCGGTTTTTTCCGAGGAGCTGTTCTTTCCGACGAGCCGTTTTCTTAAGGGATCCATTTTCAACCAGCCCGCATTTCTGGGGATAGAGCTCCTGAAGTGATTTCCTAGAGGAATCAAGTCCCTCACGTGTCGATACGTGTACCCCCAGATTCGACGAAGAAAACTGAACTTCTTGCCTTGATTCCAGGCTAGAATCTGCAACTTCCATTTGCAACTTTCCTCCCCAAGTGGCCGAGAATGGATGGCTACCGACTACCGTACTCTACCTTTTTGTTGGAATTGAGGCTTGTATAGAGTTTCAATTATGACTTTTATTACCTTTTTTATGAAATCTATTTTATGATCAATTACCATAATTGATTGAATTTTTACCGACATTACATTTAAATATTTAAAATTTCATTCATTATATTCATGACACCGAGGTGAACTTTAAACAAGTATTTCTAATTTTTATTTATCGAATTTATTATGGGTTTATCTTTGCTCAACTTTTGGTACCGCCATGATTAAAAAATGTATATTTTATTAATCATAATCATTAATCTGAACGGAATTCAAGGTTGGACAATATGTTCTAAATTTAAAATTATTGAGTAAGTACCTACATCATCCTAATTGATCAATTTTTCACTTGGGTTCTATAATAACTTATAAGTATACTTGAGGATTTCGGTTATATCTCCTTTATACTTTCAACGTTTAACCTTTGATTTCATACAGTCTTAATTTGATTTTGGTGATTTTATTTTTATGGTAGCAGCTGACCATATTCATTATAGTTATTAATGATACTAGTTCGATATGAACACCATAATGAAACGCGTGTAACGTTAAACCACGAGGCGTTAGCCGAGTGGTTTAGTTACACAAGTTTCATTAATAGAGTTCATATCGAACGTGTATCATTCAAAATTTAATCTACGATGGTCCAAATAGATTTGATTTGCCAAAATAGCAAAAACTTTTCAAATTAAAATTCAAAATTTAGCAGGTACCCGTACTAGTCGGGAACCTGCTTGTTGATTTTTAGAATTTTGACTTTGGCAGTTTCAATATTGGAGTCAATATTTGTGCCATAAATTCAGTTTTATAGTGGGAAATAATGTTAATATTGGTGATTCTGAGTTCGAAAGTGTCCCTTCGAATATCGAGACAGCATCAATGAAAAGGTTCTTCTGGTAACTAGCTTTCTTTTTGTATATTCTCCATTTCATACTTTGGGTGTTTTTATGAATTCTTAAACGCACTAGTGCTATTATGAAGGACCTAATGGCATTCAAATGACAATGCTAAATGTATCATAATGACACCGACGTAGATTAATATAATATTATCATTTTCAATCATTTCTTTTTTTTATTAATTTTCTGGGAACTTGAATCCTTCATATTATTATCTCAAATTAATGATATGGCCAGCGACTATTAATGAACTTCTACGGCAAGTATATTGTGGTATTGTTTCTTTTGGATTTGATGGAGCTGATTGAGAGTTGGCCTCTATTTATTGATTTTATTTAAAGTGTTTTGCCAGTAATTGGTTTTATACTTTAAAATTATTCAGTGCTTGATTTTTGACCTTCCTGTGAAATATACACTAATTTAATTTGGAACTTGCTTAATTGTTTTATTGGTTTACCTGTGTCAAGATTTGGTTGAGTTATATGCCGTATTTATTTCCTTTTCAGAATCACCAATTACCATTTGCTGATTGTTTTTATGTTAGGTGTGTTTCTGAATTTTCACACCCCAATATTTTATGAAGGTAATTTAATTAATTATTATTATTTTTTTCAAATTCAGTAGCGCCCTTGCTACTCTGTACTTATTAATCTATCAACCCGCTCCTAATAATAATTCGCTGAGCAAACTGAGCATATTATGGGCCTCTTGTTAATTTATTAAGAAAAGGGGTTACAGGTGTAAGGATATTGAAAACATCCTCCAAAATTTCACAATGTTAACACGCTTAGTGATACGGTGTCTTGCTATACAAGATTTTCTATAGATCAGATTCAATTATACATTTCAATAAAGAAGATAAATTGAAATGATTAGCCGAATTTCACCATTTTGATGGGGCCATTACCGAATCGAATCACTCTTTCGACCCACACCTGACGTATATTTGGGATAACTGAGCTTGCCGATGGGCGATTTGTTCTTCGATAACATAAACCGTTACACATATTGGAATGAACATGCCAAAAAACGTTCGTCAAGTGACAGAAATTAAAAATATCGGCACCAAAGAAAGAGCGATTGATTATCTGATTCTTGGAATTTGTCTTCAGATTATTTAAATCCCATCTAATTTTTGTTCCAATGTAAATCGGTAAAAAAGCATCAAATTTCGAGGGTTCGTTGGTTTGAAGTAGATTTAACAGGTTTTTTACAAAATCGCCAAAGTTCCGATTAGGTATTGCAATAACTCAATCTATTTGATTCTAAAATTTTTACAAAAAATAAAACATGATGAAAAAATCTCATATTCTATTTGGAAAAATGGTGATGAAATAGCTTTGGGTGCTGCATATAAATGTATTAAATGAAATGGTATATAAGGCGAGGAAGGAGTAATAACATTTCGAATGCGCAATTTAAAAATATTTGTAACTTTTATTGAAATTATTAATCAAATATCCTTCATAAAATTGAATTTGGAAGCAATTAAATTAAAAAACTCTCCCCCATATCCCCCTATCTCTACAATATTAGATTATTAGTAACAGTAACTAAATTTTATCCTACTGATTAATACATGGAAATAGAAGCATTTTAATAAAATTTTGAACTGACAGCTTGCTCATCTAACGGCCAAGAAAAAATTAATAACGTTTGGAATTTGAAAATTAATGTAATTGTCAGGAATTATTATTTACAGGACATTAATTTTATTTCATACAATTTCCAATCAAATCGGACGAAAAATTCAATCCACATTAATCTTTTAATGTTTTCGTTTAATCATTTTCCTGCATATCTGATAGATTATCCTATTCTGTTCTTTTTGAGGGCCTAATCCTAAAATTAAATTATGGAAATGTTTTAAGACCCAGCTGTTTTCTT